GGATCTCGATCAGGAAATGCGACCATGCCCAGCATATTCACCGAACTTATGATTAGCAGCCTCTAACTACCACTCTCTTCAATCCCTAGTGTCTTTAGAAAGCGAAAATTCTGAATATCAGCGTCTAGTCGAAATGAAGTCCACCTTTTTTATAATCGTAGTTGCCGTAGTTCTACAGAGTGGAAACGAGAATGTGTGCAAAAGGTGGGCACTAGTCCTATTCATTAATGGTGAGTACCTTGTAGATTGAAGGTGTCTCATCGTTAATGAAGGAAAACTTGGTCCAGAATTCTGGTCAAAATATCGCGGGACTTTCTTTCCAACCTCATACATTATTTGCCGAGGCTCAATGTTGGTTGAACAATTTTGGCTCAGAACAATTTGAGTCAATGGTCTCGGAGCATTTTCTCGTCGACCGCTCATTTGAGGAAATAGAAATGCCTGCACTCTGTGCTGCATCGTTATCCGGCCCGATGGGAACATTCCTTCGGTTCCCCGTTTACATAAATTTCTTTTTTTTGTTACGATATAGGCGACGCTCAAGGGCGTCAGAGCGACAGATGAATCAATGCAGAATACTGATGACGCTACGGGCCATGCATGTGGCGACCAGAAGACAACACAGTATTACATCATTTCCCTTCAAAATCTGTAGCATTTCTGTGGGCCTCTCGGAAGGATACTTCACAAATGCTAGCGCAGGCACACTTGCATTATCGCTCGGTTATGTTCAAGTTGAAAAGCCGGCAGATAAGATCAGCAGTCATTTTATGTGGGCTACTTTGCGTTGCTATATTGTCGCTTGTAAGTCTTTTGTATGATTATATCATTCTTGTCATATTTTTGACTCTCAAGGCAGTGTCCTGTGGTCAGTTAGATTCCCCTCTTTTCTTGTGAGCAGCAGGCCTGGTACGAAAAGACCATTTACGCTTCATTTCCGCTGCGTTAGTGCGAGTGAGGGAACTGACGCTAGCGATGTTCCTTTCTTTGGCCCAACCCAATTCCGTTGACCGGCCCATCGCTCTAGTGAGCCATAATAACGGAAGAGCTGTCAAAGGAAGTAGGCAGGGGGCACAGTTGTCCATAAGAAATTAGCTGTGATCAATTATAGCGGCCATATCGGCCACAACACCATTCGCCTGGTGGATATCTTCCTTTGATCGCACTCTGCTCGTACAACAGCACTGGCTAGGGGATTCTATTAAAGACATTTGCGACCATTTTTTTCGGTTTTTTTTCTCCACCGTTGACTTGCTTGGCATATTGATATTATAACTTCAGCACCAAAACCTTGGATATCTGACCGCGGGCTTTGCCTTTGGCGTTAAAGTGTACAGTCCTCATCATTGCGGACCGGTGGGGCGTGTCAGCCAGAAGGAGTGCGCACACTGTTGAAGCCGTTCTCAGCCTTTTTGTTGAAACGCGTATGCGACAAAAAGTGGTAGAAAACGAGTAATACGAAGGATATAATACAGTAATGCACTTGTCGCTTCAACTGGTGCAGAACGACTTTGCCAAACCGCACCAAACGCAGCCGCACTGCCACGCCCCACCGGTCCGCAATGATGAGGACTGTACGTCATTGCTGTGGAAGTTTCAGGGTTTCTACGTGTTCCGCGGTGAATCATGCATGGATTTGGATCACAGGTGTGGTTTTCTCTATGATCACTTTTTGCACTGTCTTTTGCTAATAACTGTTTCCTGAGCGTTTTCAACTTAACAAATTAACGACAATGTGAGTTACCTGTGGCTCATGATTTTTGCGCTATGTTTGAGCTGTTCCACTGGTTTTTTATAATCATTTCTGGTTCGAAAGTACAGCAGGAACAAACAATAAAAATGTTTGTTCCTGCTGTTATGAGAGACCCAAAATTTCAGACTAAAAATTGGCAAAGCTTCCAAGCATTACACCCTCAAAATTTTTTTCGCTCAAACTTTGCACATAGGAAGCTCTTAGGGCCCTACCCACTGATAGGACCAACCTTTTTTCGCTACTGCCATTTGGTAACAACTAAGAGCCATTTTAGGGCCAGAAACCTTGGAGGCGACATAAATTTGTATACTACAGTTGTTCGGCTTTTTGACTAAGACATGACATTAAGTTTTAACGGAGGCGCCATATGGCGCCCAGTAGGCGGCAACTTGGCATCTCAACGTTGTCTAGTGTTTTCTGGATGACGAGCGAGGAGAGTTTTTCCACGCTCTCGATAGATCAGATCACCACCGACTCTCAACCGGAATATCCCCTCTGGTGAAGGTGAAATTGCCATATTACATAAGTTACTCCCTCTCTTTAGTACCCTTCTACTCAGTTAGGAAATAAATCGTAAATTAGGAAATAAATGTAAATCGTATCATTTCAATGATTGCGATTAGGCCAGACAAATTTCTAAATGCATAACTCGAAACTAACTAACTTTACCAAATATGGCTTCAGAAAGGTCTACAACACCGACCATAGAAATCCTTCATAGAATCCTCGTTGATATTAGAAATAGGCCTTAAAGATAGCCAGGAGCCAAGGAAACCCAGTATGTCAGGATGACATGACCGAGAGCTTCCACGAGACCTAACTCTTTAAACTGGGAGATTTTAGAAAACCAGGAGAAGCGTGTGCCAGGAGGGCAACGCTCTTTACGGTGGGCGGAGCTAGACGGTGCAGCATAGAAAAGTGAAATGATTTCAAAAAAGTTCCGAATTCCGTGAAGGCGTCTAAGTGACGGAGCTCAGCGTGGCGGCATATATTAGGTCATCCCATTCAAAACCCCGTCGGTCTTATTTGAATAAAACGAAGAGGAGAATAGATAGAAAAGTGATATTTTAGCTTCAGGATGAGTAAATCCCTCCTTCACCAATGACCCGCTCCCAGTGCCCCGAAGCCTTTGGACCTCTGGTACCTTCGATTTTTCAACAAGTGCGAGTAAATTGCTGTTGATGCCAATTTCGGCGAATGACAAAACATTGTAGCGTTTGCCGTCGGAGAGTACTCTCGACTGACGAGAACAATTGGAATCGCTCGGCTTTATGTCGGGCGAATGGGGCAATTGAACCCAGGTCTCAGCACTGACCTACAATGCAGTTCACTCGGGGTCTGGCACTATGACGAGCAACGGTGGCCTTCTTGTAGTTGTGTGGTATCATCCATTTGTCGATCTGATTGCCGAGGAACAGGCAATATACACCGACAGCTACAATTTTATTCTCCGTATAGAGCCGCCTGAAAGCCACTGTGTAGGAATCCTTTGCTATGATGATCATCCACTTGCACCCACCTAACTCCTTCTCATCTGCATTCATACAAAATTGACGATTGTGAGTTTTGGCTCGAGGTCCAAGACCACCCATATTTCATCTAGGGCCGGGGTGCGTTTTCACAGTCGTGAACTCATGCTGAGAACATTACTGCTAGAGGCATAGAATCGGTACTGCGTTCGTGCTTCTACAAGAAAATTAGGTACCCATGCGCACACCCTCTTGACCATCCTCAGTTTATCGGACATAACTCGTCTTTTCTGCTCTATATGTCGCGGCACTTTTGAATGGGATGACCTAATAACTGAGTACTCGGTATAAAAGAGCGGGCGTAGAAACAACCAAGCTGCGAAAAATTGAGCAGATTTTCAATCTGCGAACTTTTTGAGAAGTGGGCGCGATCGCCTGCGTGTTGGTGCATAAACACGCAGGCGAAGTAAAGATACGTGTGCGAAAAAGCAAGTGTGCAAAAAAAATCACAGAAGCAGAGTTTATAAAAAAGTTTCGAAAAGAGCGTGATCGCGTTGACAAGGTTCAGGTCCACGAGATGTATTATGAGCCCCAGGGGCTCATAGCAGCAGGATGCAGCGAAAAAAAAGCGGTTTCGTCAACGTGCTGAAGCACAAAAGAAAATGCTTCAGGCCTCATATCAAGAATTTTTTGGTACGAGACCCTTATCTGCTCCCAATCGGACTCGTAGTGGCTTGTGGATGTGATGCGACCCATCGGCCGGCTAATATCGAAATCCGTCTCCTACCCCTCCCTCCCTTCCCCCCCGTCCACACAGATGACTTTGCCAACAATTTTCCGAATCGCTGAAGTAGTTAAGGATTCTCTAACCTGGACTGGAGCCGATTCAACGGACCGAGGGCGTGCTAAGCGGCACCCTTGCTACTGCAGCACCTACACCCCAATTTCAAATTATAGAAGAGGTAGTAAAGAGCAGATATAAAGGCCTGCCTCGAATTCCCGCTGGATGTGCTCAGGATTAAACCTGCATCACAAAATGTCGAAGGCACGGTCCGCGATGAAAAGCCTAGGTGATGTTGCAGAAATGTGGAAGAAAATTCGCCAAGTGAACCGTCTATGAAGAGAAAATGCCAAAGGGAACGTTGGAACGCATTCGTCAGGCCTCCTCTAGCCTCAAACAACTGTAGAGGTAAAAGACCGAAAAGACCGCGCGCTGGGACAATTCCCGTCGGCTGATTCCCAGTAATGAACCCTATGACTCTACAAGAGACATTGAATGCATCCACTCCATGATACTTGCCCGGGAGCATTACTTTTGGCTGGAAGGCCGACTTTGGAGGCGGAGTCTGGAGGCGGAGTCGCTGGAAAAGGGATGTACCACTGAAGCAACGCCGCGAAACTGGCACAGGGTTGTCCACTCCGGACCTGCACTACCTTCCCACATAACCTCTTGCATTTTCATAGGTCATCGCGGACCGCTCCTTTAAGGAGTTCCACTTCGTGAGCAGCCTAAACTACGTATGGAGTCGAGTGACGGTAGTGAGTACGGCATCGCGATGGGTGCTTGATAGTGACTGGGCAACCCCT